TTTTTGTTGATGATGTAAATGTCCGACACAAATTGTATACAGTTCCAGATAACAATAATAAATTGCAAAGATAATTCAAACGCTCACAATGAGATATCTAACAATTAGAATGTGGAACATTCAGGGTCTGGGCTCATCAGCATTTGGGCTGAAGAGCACTGATCCCGAGTTTATCAAGAATGTAAAGGAGACAGACATCATGATCCTACAGGAAACATGGTGTCAGGGAGACTTGGCTACCCACTGTCCCCCAGGCTACAAGGAGACCATGGTGCCCTCTGTCAAAAAAAAATCACCCAGGGAAGAGACTCTGGGGGGATCACTGTGTGGTACAGAGCAGAGCTCAGTCACTCCATACAATTAGTAAAGAGAGAAGAGACAAGAGTTTGTCTTAAAATAAAAAGAAATATCAGCTCAGTAAATGAGGTTTTCCTGTGAGATGTCTACATCCCGCTCTCAGAATCCCCTTACTACAGTGAGGGAATTCTCCCCAGTCTCCACACGGAGATCAGTCATTTCCAGGGCCAGGGAAACGTGTTGCTCTGTGGTGTTCTCAATGCACATACAGGCACACTGGCAACACTCACGTATACAGACAATCCCCTCTGTACCACACACCGGTCATCTCACACAGGCGCAGCCGTGACACCACGGTCAACAGCACCGGGCGCAAGCTGCTCCAGCTCTGTCAAGGGCTGGGCCTGTACATCCTCAACAGCAGGACTAGAGGGGACACTCTAGGCAGGTTCACCTACAACTCAGCTCTGGGCAGCAGTGTTGTGGACTGCGCCATCACCGACCTGGACCCCTCCTGTATCAGTGCCTTCACTGTCAGGCCACAAACTCCTCTCTCTGACCACAGCCAAATCACACTCTACATGAAGAGAGCACACCAGCACAGAGACACTGAAACAGCCCAGCCTGCTGTATGACCTCAGCCAGGCGTACAGATGGGACACAGACAACTTAGACAGATACCAAACTGCACTGGACAATGAAGAAATTCAGACACTGTTGGACACATTCCTAAACACTCCATATCAAACCAACAAATTAGGCATAAACTTGGCCACACAAAAACTAAATCACTTATTTCACAAATTAGCATCAAAATCTAAGCTAAAAACAACTAAATAAAAAAAAAACTACCAAAAAACAAAAGCAAAAGAAAAGTGGTTTGATAAGGAGTGCAAAAACATCAGAAATGCACTACGACAACTCTCTAATCAAAAACACAGAGAACCACACAACACAGATCTGCGCCTCAGCTACTGTGGCATATTAAAACTTTACAAACACATGCTGAAAAAGAAAAGAAACACATACATAAACAAACAACTTGCAGAAATTGACGAGTCACTAAATCAGAACTGTTTCTGGGAGAAGTGGAACAATTGAAATAAATCAAAACCAGAAGAATTGGCCATCCAAAATGGAACAATATGGAAAAAAAAAACTCTATCAAAAGCTCTCAAATACAAATCAATTTTGGAATTGGCTATCAAAGACAATCAAAACCCCTTAGACTCCCCAATCACTGAGCTGGAGCTACTGGACAAACTTTAGGCCCTCAGACCACGCAAAGCCTGTGGCCAAGATGGAGTCAAGAACGAGATGCTGTGACACGGCAGCTCAAAGTTGCAACAAGCCCTGCTCAAACTCCTCAATCTCATCATGACAGCTGGATGTTTCCCCGATACCTGGAAACAAGGACTGATCATGCCCATCTATTAGGTTGGAGGTAGACTTGATCCCGACAATTACCAGGGCATCTGTGTGAACATTATCCTGGGGAAGGTATTCTGCAGTGTCCTGAATACACGATTACTGGCCTTCCTTCCTTTCGAACACAATGTCCTCAGCAAGAGTCAGATTGGCTTCTTACCAGATCACCGAACATCTGATCACATTTACACCCTACACACACACTGATAGACAAACACGTCCACCAATAACACAAACAAAATATTTTTACCTACAGTACATTGTCGATTTCAAAAAAGCATTTGACTCGATTTGGCATTAAAGATTGTTTTATAAACTACTCCAAAGTGGCATAGGGGGCAAAGTGTATGACATAATTAAATCAATGTATTCAGAGAGTAAATGTTCAGTGAAAATTGGAAACAAAAAGACCACATTCTTCACCCAAGGCCATGGGGTGAGACAGGGCTTCAGCTTGAGCCCAACACTGTTCAATATCAACGAATTAGCAGAAATCTTGGAACAGTCTGCAGCTCCTGGTCTCACATTATATGACGCAGAGATCAAGTTCCTGCAGATGACCTGGTCCTGCTGTCACCCACAGAACAGGGGCTGCAGCAGAACCACGCACTGCTGGAGCAGTACTGTCAGACCTGGGCACTGACAGTCAATCTGGACAAGACCAGAGTTATGGTTTTCCAGAAGAAAGCCAGACCTCAGAAAAACTGGTACAAATTCACACTCAACAACAACATATTGGAGCACACATCTAGCTACACATATCTCAGTCTCACCATCAGCTCATCTGGGTTTTTGCCCCATATGCCACTTTGGAGTAGTTTATAAAACAATCTTTAATGCCAAATCGAGTCAAATGCCTGTTATAGTGTGGCCAGACAGGCAGCTATTGAATCCTTTCACTTAGCCTTTTTGCTAGCTTTCTTTAGCCCTTTCATTCCCCCGTTGTCCTCACGACGTTTAGGATGCTTGGTGCAGTCCTGTCTGCCTGCTTTGCGCCAGGGCTTAGCTGGCTCAGGAGCTTCCACTCCTTTGAGCAGGAGGGAATTGTTAACCCTGCTGGCTCTGACGGCAAACACAGTCGGCCGGAGGGACTGTGAACCTCATACTCCCAGTCTTTCTGCACTAATCTACTAATATCAGTCATTTTCATGGTTTGTGCATCAGCATGCATCACAATCATTTTTCTGACTAAAAGGTGGAGATTGGCAAGGAATAAACTGTTGAAATTTGCATTCTCTTCGCAACCCTCATAATTTTGCCCTGCAAAATAAGTGCGTCTAAGTCTCCTGTAATATTTGCGATGGGACTCAGCTCTCTCATGCTTAACGTGATGGGCCATGGCCATGGCAGCAGTTGGGTTAATAAACGCACAGCACTCTAAGATCAGGGCTTGGCACAGCTCCTCAAAGTCATTAGATACCTCTTTTGTCTGCCTAGCCATCCATTCATGTATAGCTCTGCTGGTTGTTTTTCTCACCAGCAAGACTTTCTCCTGTTCTGTGGCGTCTGGCATAAACTGCAGTGTTTAACTGAGCTCATGAATGTAACTCTCGACATTATTCCCTGACACTGTGGGGTCAAATCTCTCTATGTCCTTCGCTAGCTGTCTCAGAGAGTGAGGATTTATTTTCTTAGCTTCTCCACTAACGGAGAGACGGCAGAGATCGTGTTCGGAGGGCCTAGTCCTTAATTGACTCGCCCTAGCGTCTCATTTGGGAATCGGTCCTCTACCCCACAATGACCCAGTTACAGATCGGCCCCCCACCATTGGGGACTTGAACCTGGGCCTCCAGTGTCACTCAACAGAGACCCAGCCTGTTGAGCTAAAGAGAGATCTCCCTGCACTCTCCCCCGTTTAACTTGCTGTCCTTGGCGAAGGGCTATCCAACCCCGCTCTGACACCAATGTAAAGCTTCGGGGTTCATGTGGGCGTCCTTGCCGCCGCTGCATCTGGTCAGCCCCCCCCCGTCGGGGGCTCGAACGCGGGCCTCCGGTGTCACTCAACAGGAACCCAGCCTGTTGAGCTAAAGAGAGATCTCCCTTCAGCCCAGCGGCTGTGGGCCCTTCTATTACAGGGAAGGGTGGAGACGTCACCGCTCTTGTAAGCCGGCTTTCACACTCAATGGTGGCCATAAGCGTTACAGTATAAACTCTCCAATTCCCTTTTTTTTCCATGCAGGCTAGCCTCTAGCTCTGTTTTAGCCTTCTCAGCGACAGCTTTCTCAACAGACAAGACCTCTGATTTAGCTGAAACCTCTTTGAGTTGGCTTTCAAGCTGTTCAAGCTGTTTAGCGAGGTTTAAACTTTAAATTAAAGCGAAACTAGATGCGACCTGCATTGCGTTCCCAGAACCTCCCACATTAAGCTGGTTCGTTACCTTGGCTACCAGGTCTACTTAAGCTTTTCAATTCGGCAAAATTAAAATTCTCAATACTGTGCCATCTGTCAGGATTGTCGTTTCTAGAGAGCGTGCTTATTAGCGACTAAGTACGAAATCATAGTTCTACCTCTGGGTACCAGTAATGTGATGTAAGCTACATTAAGCGACGCTGGCTTGGCAGAACCTTTCAAAATAAAAGTCCCCCAAAACCTGCCTCATAAAAATAATTCTGTACCAGTTAAAGTCACATTTATAGCACAACAACAATTTGTACATCCTCAGAACTAGGTGGAATGTGATAAATAGTCCCACAGGTAATATGAAATTGCTGTTCTTCATTAATTTTTTGCTTTCTTACAAACATATTGGTGTTTTTATATCACTTCCTCCTTGCAAATTGACACAGAGCTGTGCACTGCTGGACAGGGAAAAGTATCATTCCTGACCCCCAGAAAATTGTGCCTCTCCAAAAGTAGTTCAGATATATTCTACAGACCCACAGGTAATAGAAAATCACCATGGTTTTCTCAGATAAGTGTCTCTCTCAAAACTGCTGGGGGTTATAGAGCACCTCCCATTCCCAGACTGCGACCATGCCGTCTAACTCCCCTCCTGACCAAACCAAAATTTGTGCCTCTCCAAAAATACCTCAGATCTACTCTCTGTAGGGTTTATCTACAGACCCTCAGCTAATAGTACATAACCATTGTTTTGTCATATAAGTGTCTTTGCTAAAATTGCCATGGTTTATAAGACTACTTGCTGTTCCCAGACTTGGACCATGCAGTGATGGACCACTTCCCCTCCCGACCAAACCAAAATTTGTGCCTACTCAAAAATTGACTCAGATCTGTTCTACAGACCCCCAACTAATAGTATATAACCATGGTTTTACCAGATGAGTGTCCTTTGCCAATGTTGCTGGGCCTTTTAGTGCTATGCCTTTTAGGGCCTTTTTCAACTGTGAGTACATGGTTTGACGAGCATATGTATCCGTCTGATGCCTCCTTTATTTCTAAAAAACAAACAAAACATTAGTTTAGTCTATGTGTTGGCTGTGTTGTGATGTTTTGATAATTTGTTTTAATTCTAAGTTTCTGTCAAATGCACGAAAGTACCGCCCAATAATGTCCACCTCTACTTATAGACTTTCCTTCATGGCGTATTGTTGATTTAATAGTACATTGCACTTTACTAACTCTTATAGCAATTACAATTCCAAGTGCTGTTCGCATTGGAATGTGCTCTGGGAATCTGAATCACAATAGTTTGTGGACAAGAGCTAAATTGTTGCTTCCAGACCACTGTTTGCTTACACTTTGAGCAATTCTGTGAGACTATGTTCTCTTGCAAAGACTTGTGTATGAGGGTCGATAAACTCGTGAAAAACTCAGCTATATGTGCAAGCAAAAAATGACTGACTTCACGTATTTCGGTATGCAAGAAACTACAGTTCTATAAAGTCTACATGGGAAGTAATAAAGGTACTGTTTACTTGGCCACAAACAACCCAGGACATAAGGGGAATTATTAAATTGGCTGGGTCAATTTCTCTTGAAATCTATTGAAGATATCACTTTGCATATCTCATCTAACACTGACTTTGAAAGATAGCTGCTAGGATTGTTGATGGCAGGTTTGATCAAATTCAGTTAACAGCCAGGCATAATCTTAAAACCTTTAGAATAGAATTCCATATTTATTTTGGTCTGTATTGCATTCCAATTATCAACACACCACATGACAAAAAACAGCACTTGTTTAGGGCTTTTTTTAACCTGTTTTTGAGAATATAATGATAGGTGCTTGTTGTGATCATTTGGATGACCATGCATTTTGTGTTTATTATTTAGACTAAAAATGATTGATTGTATTGATAGGGGGCTTTTGGAATGAATGCCTAAGATGTGGAATTTTATTTTCTTGTTCCATTCCTCCTCTTCCACAAGGGCAGGAGACATACTTATTCTAGACAAATTCTGTCTTATCTTTTCACAAAGTTCCCTTTCATGTGCTTTGTTAAGAGTTCCTAACCTTTCCACACATTCATTTTGAACTTTACCTCAGAAATTGATATAGTCCATCCATCTTTTCGTATTGCTGAAATCTTCCCATTAGTATGTCTGTCCATATTGGGATTGACGACGGGAGTTCTCAGCACCTGACCTGTAACAGTGGGGACACTGCTAGTGTTCAGTCGTGACACTCGACTTCTGAGATTGGAAATTGACTGTGTGACAAGTGTGTTACTGTATCTACTACCCATGAAAATGCAGTTGTCATGAATATGAGCAGACAGGTCTTCTAATCCCATTGAATTAACTGACACTGAAGATATACATGCCGACTCTGCAAAGTTTCCTGAGTTATTTTAGCTGGTTTTGGAAAATTACCACTGTGCTCGTGTTTTAATTTCAGGGGTGTTATTATAACAGCTACCATCTAGATTTATACCATCAAAATCACTTCTACAGGTATCCATACTGTGCATTTTGCTTTCGGAAGGAATAACATGAGGAACAATTTCCTTGGGTGATGGATGCACTACATGCAATACTACTTTCCACTTCTGTGTCACCATTTAGCTTGACCTCCCTCTCCTGGGAAACCATCTGTTTATTGTCTGTCTTACCACAATAAGCCCCAAAAATGAGATAATCCAGCACTGTTTGAGCACCAATGCTGACATGATACATCAATGTTACTTTTTTTTTGGTAACATCTGACTTATGTATTACACTGCTGATTGCTTCACATTTGTTCAAGAAACCGAACCCAGTTTTCAATGCCATGACTTTAACATCACATTTTTCTGAGCAACATAGAAACCCTACAGATTCTATAAGATAAGGCACCCAGACAGTATTGAGGACCTGACACTAGGTTGAGAGCACAGTAGTAATTTTCCAAAACCAGCTTAATAACCCAGGAAGCTTTGCAGAGAGAATTCGAGAAAAAATCGAGGTGAAGTTTTTCAGAAGAACAATACAAACAACATCACACTTTTCCCTTTCTCAGGAACTGATTTTCTGCCTTAGTGCAGCATCCCAAGGAAAGGTACATCAGGAAGTATACATGGGAACATGTGTTTGCAGCAAAAATCAATGAGACAAACCAATATTGTGTCATAATGTTTAAGTCCCACAGGTTTAACAACTGTATTAGAAGATGCTCTAGGAACCCCTGTATCTGAAAATACATGGGTACTGTGGTCATAAGTCCTGTAAAACAAATTTTATCACCCCTGAAACCCTGCAAAATCTAAATTTTCAGGTAGTTTACATAGGGCTGACAGAGCATCCTTGTGAGACTTTAAAAGCAAGACCATCTAGTAAACATGAAAGACAATTGGGAGAGGAAATGATAAATGTCAGGGTGTATAAATTATATAATGAGCTGCTAGGAAAGGCGCAAATAATGTCTGGGGTTGGGTACAGCACATCCACTCTGAAAAAAATTAAATCTGAACATCAAGCTACTTGATAGTGACAAACCAGCTGCAGTTCGATTTTTGAAATAGACAACTAAAAGTGGAGATAAAACTAGCAAATATGTGATTAAGCAGCTCTATGCTGCCGTGGTAGAATTCTGGCCATCACAGAGGGCAGTCACCACCCCGGGCATGAGTTCTTCACCCCACTGCCCTCAGGCAAGAGATACACAAGCAGTGCAATTGGCGAACACATTCATCCATGCCCCTCGGACCACACCTAAGCCTCATTATGATTTCTTTTTTATTGCACATCTTCAGTCATTTTTACATGTCTGCATTGTTTACATTCATACTGTTTAGTTGTTTACTTTGTACATAGGCTACTTAGTTGTACATTGTCTTCTATTTGTACATTGTCTTGATGCAGTCTGCACTTTGTGTTTTTACACTTCTTTTAACAATCGAGAGACTTTCTGTAAGTAAGAATTCCATGGCACCAGTACATGTACTGGTTACGTATGGCAATAAAGTTCAAGTTCAAGTGAAGTCAGGACAGGTGAAGAGAGGTGTGAAATGAAACCTAAAATGAATAGAGAGAATTTAGAAGAAAAGTAGTCTGTCGTTGAGAGAAGGGGGAAGGTGTGATCCTAGCTGTGGGATAGTTTCTGATGTATGAGTTAGGAAAACCAACTTTGAGAACACAGACAGAGAGATTATTGTGATATTCTAAATTCTCTCTTAAATTAATGCAATTAATTTAAATGTGTTTTATACCCATTTTGAATTAAAACCTATGAGGTGCACAGACGTCATGGAAATTGATAAAAGGCAAAGCACAAGTCCAGTGTGGAAGAGTTCCTATAATCATGTGCAGATGTGTTATATGAGATTTTTAACTTGCATTTTCAGATGTCCTTATTTTTAAGATCATCCCCTTTCTGTGGTACTGTAGAAATCCACTATTCCCATTCCAAAAACTGCCTGGCTAACAACTACCATCTCACAATAATTCTCAGTTTACATAGAAATTCTCAAAAGACTTCAATTTAAACCATAACTTGATAAAATGAGTTTCAACAGTCTCAACAGGTGTGACATTCCCCACACTTTCACTGGATTACCACTGGAGCTGTGTTTTGTCCCTCCTACTGTACATTTTTTACACTAATTAGTGTAAGAGCAATCACACAGACATCTCCATTAGTTATTAGCTAAATAATGATGATAAAAAGTCTGTATTACTCTAGTTCAAATATTTCAGTAACAACTGGGAATTAATTGTATTTCTATATAACTAGAATAAACTGATAAATTAGGATTTCTTCCCATAACCTGGGGAGAAGGTGTTTCATTTATCCCTTTACATCTGTATCTACCATTTCGATTCCTCCCTAGCTTGCTACAGTAACACTTTCCTAAATAAGATATTAAAACATTTTAAGATATTTAAAAATAATTTTGAATGTTTTGATCTGGCTCATGTTCATGACCATGGAAAATCTGTTCTTGCACATGTAACAGGGTTCTGCTACTGGAATAGCTCAGCTCCTGCATCAACAGTGCTCTCAGATCAATTCTCTTTGAGTGAGAGGCAGCAGACTACCTTAGGGTTCTCTTTTTAAATTTTATTAAGGATGAAATTGCCAGTATAAGAAGCCAGTCTTGTACTGGTCACGAGAAAGAAAAAAAAAGATGCCTTTTCTTTTCTGCAAAAATAAAAATAATATCTGCATCTGAGGGTTGGACCCAAGGTTCTGCACTGAACACTTAAGCAGTCATGTGAGCAGATTTTATAGCTAGCCCTATCAGGAGGCACAGCTGCCAATCATCTCATTAGTGCAGAATTCCCATGAGGCCATCAGTGCACTAGGGATGAGTGCGGTTCATTATCTTCCTGTGCACTTGTGGCGATGAGTGGATCTTCAGGTGAAAAAAAGATGGCAGCTATGACACAAACATATACTGACTTAAACATAACGTGTGAATCTCATTATATTAGATATGCAAAGTTCTTTAAAGCTCACTTTTAGTGCATTTTAAAATAAAAATAATACTGGTATGTGAAATTGAAGAAACAGAATTTGGAACAGCATGCCAAATTATTATCTTCTTTTCTGAAGGACTATTTGATATATTTGATATATGACGCATACTTCAGAAATAAAAACAGATGAGCTTAGGAACTGTAATAACATTCCTGTCACAATGAAATACTACATATGAACAAATCTGAGAAAAATGCAAATCTCTCTTAAATTTGCAGTGGAATTTAATTAATGCAAAAATTTACCTTGTAAATCTAGACTTCTTTTCCTGACTTTAGATGTGTTTAGTTTGCAAGCAAATCAAACTGCTTTCTGCTGAAAATTTTAGGTTGAAAAAATAAGCATTGAGGCAGTGGTGTTACCACCTTAAGTTGTACTTTGGGACAACTGTGGGACAACATTGTTTCCTTGCATTGGTTCCTGTGTGCAGTTTTTTTGTCATCTTTATGTTCACATGGGTTTCCTCTACTGGTACTCTCTGGTACTGGTAGGTTAATTGACTTCTGGGAAAATAGGCCCTGGTTTGAGTGTGTGCGTGTGTCTGCCCTAAAATGGACTGGAATCCTGTCCATTCCGTCTCTTACCTTGCACCAAAAGCATAAGCTCCCTGCTTGATAAAGAGGTTACAAAACAGATGGAATTTTACCACCAAGTCTTGATAGATGACATTGATGCCATATCTCAGAACCTAATCAGTAGTGGGCCAAACTTATGTTAATAAGCTGAGACTTTAAACCAAGGTTCTGACTGCTTAGATATTCAGAACTGCATGTCAGTTTTTTAAAATTAAGTAATTGTCCTAATTTTGTCCTTGTCCAATATCGTGAATTAACTCCAGTCTGGGATTGTAGAGTTTATAGTCCAGGCTTCTTAAAATTAACCCTTAATTTAATTGGTGAAGGTCTGAGTCCTGAAATCCATATGCTATTTAGTGATGATGTCTTACATTTGATCCTGCATTGTACTGAATGATTGAGTATTCACTATGAATTCACTTTTGACTATTGAATGATAAAGTATTCACTGAGCCTCTTGTAAGTGCTTTGGGGTGAAAAATATTATAAGTGAAAGAAATGGCTAAATTTTGCCTGAAGAAGGCTCCACGGCCGAAACTTTGTGTTCTCTTTCTTCTTTTTTCAGCATGGAATAAACCTATTACTTGTTCCATTTCCGTTATTTGCCCATCCCCTGTACAGTGACTACAAGACTACATAACTGAATATAATGGTAACTGATGGAAACTGATACTAACACTTTTGGAACCTTCTTCTTTAAGGCAGACTATAGTTCATTCAGGCAATAAGATTAGTAGCTTTAAAATTTAACAAGGCATGCATTATCATATCATATTTTATTACATTCTGCAGATTTATCCAAAGAAGCCATAGAACTGTAATAGGAGACAGTGAAGACGTAGTCAATAAAATTAATCAACAGGGGCTTTCAGCTGGAGACATATCTAAAACTCCAGTAGAATTGAAGATTAAATGGTTTCAGAAAGACTTCTAAGTAATTCAAACTTAGAAAAAGAGAATAAATAATCATTTGTAAATTAAGTTTAGAAAGAACCAAAATAGGATTCTAAAGATTAACTTTAATGAAGTAAGTTTCTTAATTGAATTTTGGGAGAGGTACTGTAAATAATAGATTAACATATGCCATTTTTCTCGAGGCCCGAGGAGACGCAAAGATAAGGTAATTTAAATCATGACATTGCATTGCCTTTTCGGTTTTTAGACTTTTTCTTCAACTACTACAATTTATTAAATAACATTATTATGGACTTGTGTTATCAAGTCTGGTATCAAAACTTTAACAGAGAACCTAAAAAACAGGGTGAAACTGACCTGCTTACTTAGTTGAAACTGAGTTTTCAGGACAGGTGAACAGAGGATCAAAGTAAATCTTCTGGTTTCCTGTAATTCATTAACTTTTTGCTAAATTATTAATTTTCATCAACACACAGAAGCACAAGATAAAAGACAGAACAGACAGGGAGAGGAACAGGAGATGAAGAGAGAAACGGGAAAGGTACAGAAGAAAGAAGAGTTCCAGGCGAGAGGAACTTGTTCGTACCTGCTTTGGAGACCAGAGGTCTAGCTAAGTAGTTTGAACCTTGTTTACGAAAGCATCTAGTCCTTTATTTTAGGAAATTTAAATTTCCTTTATTGTGGAATTCTCAGGTTTATTCCATGCTGAAAAGAGAAGAAAGAAAACACAATGTTTCGGCCATGGAGCCTTCCTCAGGTGTGTCAGAAGGAAGGTTCCACAGGTGAAATATTTTCTTTCTTCTTTTTTCAGCATGGAATAAACCTGTTAACTTGTTCCTTTGCAACCTACGCATACTGATGCAACCTGAATTATTACTATTTGTCCTAGATCGCCTTTCATTTTTTTATTTTGTTGGAGAGTGCTTTATCTTTTAATGCATTTTTTTCTATGAAGAAATGTGTGAAATACATCTGGGTTGATTAGGTAACAGCATTTTTTTAAATAATCATTAATGACTAACTGTAACTGATTTGTTGCAGGGTGTTACTTTTCTCCAATATGATTCTAATTACAAAATCTTAGTTTTGTTTTTGACCACTAAACAGGTGTTAAATATGACAAGATAAAAAGATAATGTAAACTCATGAGCATACTGAATGCTTGGGACATTGGACTGATAATCAGTTTCCTTCTCAAAAGCATACAAAAAGAGTGAATACAAAAGTTGTATGCATATATTTGTTGGATTATCATTGCAAGAAACAATAAATTGTAGGGTTAACAATTGCAAAACAAGCATTGGTTAGCATTTATCCCAGTTATCTGAACACTTTGTTAGTCTGATTTAGGGCCTTAAATAGATTACATTTATAAGTGTACATGGGAAAAGTTTAAATGTTTTAGATCTTAAAACACTTTTTGAATTTAAATGGTCCCCAACAACCATTTGACTTCAAAACCTTGTGCAAATATTGTGTTATTTTATGAAAAAATATTTCTGAATAATTAAAAAGTTATGGTTGAAGCTGACTCCTTGTTACTGGTTGAAGTGGTGTCCTTCAAGAAACAAACTAACAAAACTCTCATCATGTGGGACAAATGACATCCTCTCACCTGTAATATGTCTCATCTTCTTATGATGGTTATATTTAAAGCTGTTAGAGCATGTTCTTACAGTGAAATCAGTGTTGTGTCATAGTGCTAAATACAGTATACTTATATTTAATAGTACTTATAATAATGTTTTTCAGACATATTAGAAGGATCAGACTCACTGTTAGCGTGGCATCAGTAATTTATCCTAGACAAGTGGGACAATTCCAGGACAGATTTGCAGCATTTCACTTATTACCCTTCAACCTTTTGAGGATAACCGAATCTTCCCAAAAAAAGAATGTTGATCTCTGTTGCTCACAAGGGCCTATAGTTTGTGCACCTGTATACATAAGTCCTCAAAAGGGAAACTTCCTCTTCAGCTCTCTATCAAAAAGAGATACGTTGCTATAATCATGTGCAAGAAATGTGCATATTTTTAGCAACACACTACCCCTATTTAATAAGTGTTGTCTCACTTTATCTAAGTTCATTATCTACTGCTCCAGGGTGTATAATTTTCTAATCTTAAATTCCAAGTTATTAGGTAAGAGAGACAGGTTACAAAATGACCAAAAAGATAGAATATTCAGCATTAACAGGTTGCTCGAGCTCCAGAATTGTCACTGGTGGTAAATAACAATAAGCAAAGCAAAGGTTTCTCGAAAAGAGTAGAGATGTAACCCCGGCGTCCTGGCCAAATTTCCCATTGGCCTTTACCAATGTTGACCTCCTAATAATCTCCATCTATGAATTGGCTTCATTTCTCTGCTCTCCTCCTCACTGTTAACTGATGTGTGGTGAGTGTTCTGGTGCACTATGGCTGCCGTCGCATCATCCAGGTGGATTCTGCACATTGGTGGTGGTGGAGGGGAGTCCTCATTACCTGTAAAACGCATTGAGTGGAGTGTCCAGAAAAGCATTATATAAGTGTAAACAATTATATTATTACAAAGGTTGATTTTACAAGAACTAAGAAATTGATTTCAATTTATCTCAGCAGAAATGTATCCCAAACTTATTCAAATCACAAAACTGACTACATTTGTTTAATTTATTTTCAAAGTTTTTGAAAGATTAAAAACTTTTCAAATCTTAACACTGCATTGCAAAGAATATTGAATATTACATATTACATATAGCCTCTTCCTTCCCTAGGAAAAAATGTTTTACTGTTTTATGTTTAACATTTACTACGTTTTGGATAAGACATTATGTTGAAAGCTGTGCAAAATTTTGTACTTCTTGTTAATAAGTGTGATACTAAAGTTCAAGTGGAACTAATCAGGCAAAGGTGTTCTCCCTTATACTAAACAAACTCTGGCAAATCTCTCTCTTTTTAGGAGTCATGTTTACGGACAATCTCTAATTTATTAATAGCTAAAAAAGTATGTTTTTCTGCCAAGTATTGCTACTTGAATTTGGTATTGTACAATGCTAGGATATCAGGGCAGCTTTTGAATGTCACGTAAAAGGAACATTTTTGCTATCAGGTAGCTTAACTTCCTAATTTTAAATCATATACCGCAAGTAGAAAAATGTCATTTTAAGCCTAAAGATCTAAAGCACTCACCACCAAAGAAACAAAAACAACTATGGCAATTCTGCAATCTATGTTAAGAACAAAATGTCCCACTTATCAATATTCATACAATGGCAGCAATGAATTCCAGTTAACCACAAATCATGGAATTTTGGAGGATGTTGGCAGTAACTTTTATTGGAACAATAAAACTTATTTTAGTCAAACAGTTCTTCTCTACCAGAAACACGCACTTGGGAGTCTGAATCAGCACACAAATTACAGTTGGAACTGCAGACTGGCTTCAAAATCCTAGTCTTCACTTTTAAAGTGATCCATTTTTAATACTCAATGCACTAGAGGCAATGACACCATGGGCCTATAACTTTCTCCATCCACACACAATTTCTTAACCTCCTTATCATGCAAAAATAAAATAATGTAGAGGAAGAAAACTCAAAGATAAAGCAATAAAGCAAAACAATTATGTTTTTTCCAGATACAAGGCTTCATTATCTATATGCTCAAATAATGGATGTTAGGTTTTTGATAAAGTTTCGAGGCAATAAAATATACACTATTTAAAAAAAATGACTTGTCTGGATTATCCCCTTTGCTCCCCAACAATGATGTCATATATAACACTTATTTTACTAAGCAATGTAGATAATATAGAAAGCAGAGCATTAATAGCAGGTTGTGCATGCATTGAGACCATTGTTTTCTTTATAAAGTGAAGAGGATAAAAATGTGTATACTTTATTCTACTAACCATCCAAAAACCTATTCAGAACTGAGTTACACCAGTCTGTCAGGCTATTTGTACAAAATAGGGACTAAATAAAGGTTTTACAAACACAAATAAGGGATTTTTATCAAATGTTAAAAGATTTTTGCTTAGTTGCCAATACCAATAGCAGCCACCACTGCCAAGCAGACTGTGCCTCTTGACACATACGAGGTGATCACAGAGAAAATACTCCACATGCATATGCTACCAGAGATTTCAGATTCTTAATATTAATTAATTGATCCCTACAGTTCATTCTTAAAAAGAAAACTACTTAATTTCTTTCCCTCATATTAGAACTTGATCTGGTCTAGAACTGCAAAGCCAACACCTAAGAAGTGTAGCTCAGTCTCTATGAAAATTTTTTCTTGATGAAATCCACTGCTGGGTAGTTTTTGCTCCTTGGTTTTGGTCCTGAAGGCAGACACAATTGAAGAGGAGGAGGTAATGTAAGCAAAAAATTAAAAAGGAGGCGAAGCAGGTAGAAGACTGTGGCTAAGGAAAGATGCCTGTCCACCTTTCCACTACTCTGTCTCTTTTTTCACTTCAGTAAAGCTTTGATGTCTGCGCTTTCAGCTGCTTCAAAGGCATTCATTCCATCTGGTCCTTTCATTTCCTTGTCAGCACCCTGTAAAAAAATAAAAATAAAAGGGGGATTAAAAATGACATCCAAAGGTATTCCTTCGGTCCTCAAGTCTTCATTCTAAAAAAATAACTAGAGGAAAATACATATACAACAACATTTCTTCTCTACTATAAGTTAATATTCAGCAATGTGAAACTCAGAAGAAGGCTTAAATGGAAATCCCACTCACCACAGGTCTTATTACCAATTTAATAGGTATTAAATTGAGCTATTATTATAGATATAAATTGGGATATTAAATTTATAGATATTTTAATAGATATTAAATTGGGCATCAATTTAGGCAAAATTTAGAACATTTGCAGTTTCATAAACACAACTCCAAAACATTAGAGATCATCAGAAAGGTGAAGAAAACTCCAATCTTCATGTCAAAAAACACAAGCGGAACTTATAAAATGCATAATGGAGCAGACTCCGTGATGTTGGCTCCCTATAGACAGCACAAATGATTAAACCCACCTCATTCGTTAGTGCTACGTTTTTGCCAGTTTGTGCCGTTGAGCAGCGTTTGTGCTGCTTTTGTTTCTGCGAAATAGCGCCTTGTTTTTTCGGGGTCGTGACATCACTCAGCCCCCCTGCAACATCATAGGGGAACTGTACTGGTCTCATTCGTTAGTGCTGCGTTTGTGCCGGTTTGTGTAATTGAAGGTAACTTCCTAGCTGCTTTCGTTGCCTGGATATAGTGCCTTGTTTTTGGGGTGATCATGTGACCATGCACTGTGACTTTGACCTCCAGTGACCCCATCTGCCGAGTTCTAGTGTTCTGTTACTGGAGCGAGAGTAACATTTCTGCAATTGTATTTCTCTGTTATATCCAGGTGGGGGGCGGCGGTTGATTTTGCTTTTAATACCAGTATCTTCTGTGTATTCGTGTGATCAGGAAAATTAAAAACTGTCACCAATATCATACCCTAATCAGAACTGTTGCGGATGTAGCCTTTAAAGGTGAACATCACCAAAAAACTGCATGTTCTTAGAAAGAGGCTTTAACTAACATGTTTCAATATTTCGTAGCTGTGTTCTTCTTTAAAAATCTGAAGAAGTAATTGGTTTCTCATAGTGTCATTTTACAATTTATATGTAAATCAAGGACCGTTTAAAGATTCGACCCTCGGAAAAGAAAGAAGCTGGGAAGTTACTTTCAACAGCAAAAACCGGCACAAACACAGCACTGACGAATGAGACCGGTTTGGTTTCTCTACGATGTTGTAGGGGGGCTGAGGGATGTCACGTCCCTGAAAAAACAAGGCGCTATATCTTGAAAACAAAAGCAGGACAAATGCTACTTTCAATGGCATAAACCAGCACAAACGTAGCACTAATGAATGAGGTGGGTTTCATCATTTGTGCTGTCTGTAGGGGGGTCAACTTTATGGAGCTAGATTTCAAGGCACCTGTCTGTGTCTATAATGTTGAATGACATGCCAGACTGGATATTAGAAGATGTCTCTTTAACTGTCATTAAAAAAAGCATTAACAATTGTGCACTGTCCTTTTTTTAGATGAAAGCCTAGCTACACTGATATCAAATAATAGCCTTGTGCTGACATTTGTAGATGCTCAAGATGCAAACTAAAAAAAAAATTCACACCTAATAAGGACTACAAAATAAAACTTTAAATACTAAAAATAATCAGTACATTTACTTATTAGTATTAATACTGCTTTAGCAGGTCCCAAAGCTAATTTAGGAATTAATAAATTAATGACATTTTACTAGATTCAATTTAGTCCAAGTGACATCAATGAAAATCTTTAATTCAAAAATAATTATTTTAACTTGTTAATAGATTGAATATTTTTTATCTGGAATTATAAAAATGGTTAGTAACAGAATAAATTTGAAACTTTAAACAAAATGTTGAATTAGCTAATAGAGAGCTCAGTGGGAACAAAACCCTCTGTAAATCCCACACAAGTCAGAAATATTTGCAAACACTAAACCCTCTTGCATCTAAGACCATGGAACTGTGGAATTGTGTCCCTCTTACTAATTAGTCATTAAAAACCCTAATAGATGGAATCCTTGTAATTATAATACAGCAGATTTTTACATAGTAGATTTTGTCCATTAAAGCCTAAGTCTTATAAGACTTTTTGGATCACTTTCAACAAAAGAACCAGACAAGTCATGAATATGAAATCAGAAAGATGAGGACAGTCTTGTATTCCAATGATCCAAATAGTTTCATTTACAGATGCAGCCATTCAAAATGCGCTGTAAAAACCCACGGTACAGTAACCTACCCGCAGGGCACCGGAAGGCACCGCGGTAAGTGATTGGCTGGCCAAAATGACTGACAGGGGCACTCGTGGTGCATTGGTTGGTAGTGAAAAGATTTAATCATTTAATGTCTTTACTGTACACATTTTAATCCGCTTAGTTTTGAATATTTATATGGAATTTTACCACGAAAGGGAAATTTTAGTAGCTGAGCA